TCATTACTGGGCCATTCCCATAATCCAGGCCTCTGCACTATTTCCAGTGCTTACAAGGATCCCGGAAATGGCTGAACGTGCTCTTTCCCCACCTGGCCTGCACTCCCAAGGACCCCACAGCCCACCAGTGCCCCTCCAGCACCCCGGAAACAACCCCTGCATCCTTGTGAAATCTCCACAGCAACAGCAACTCCTCCTGTTTTTCTCTTTTTATTAAAAAATAGATCGAGAAAATATACACGCTGCAGCCTATCCCTCACAACAGGCCCCGAGGAGACCACCGCGCCCTGGGCATGAGCAGAGCCATCCTGAGTGCCTGGCTGTGCCCTGGGAGATGGCATCTGGGCCTGGCACTTAGCAGGTGAGGGTGGGTGGCAAGAGGAGGGGTCCCTAGCTGGAGCACAGGGGGACAATAGGAAGTGGCCTCCAGACTTGGGGTACAGGTGACCCCCACATCCCCCACCTGGAGGCTGGCCCCGGACTCCCCACCTCTGTCCCATGGGTCCCCAGGCTGAGCCACAGCCCCTCAGGCATTGATGGTCTTCCTGCGCTCGCTGTCCGTGCTGTTGATGCTGCCTGTGTGGCAGGGCATGGAGGCCACATCATCCAGGTAGGCCACGCCCCCAGAGGCAAACTGCGTGCTCGTGGCCCCAGAGGCCTCCATGCCTTCCCGCCCGGCCACAGCATAGGGCTGGGGCAGGTGCATGTCCGGCTCCTCGGTCTGGTCCACTTGGCATTTATAGGAGAACAGGATCTTGGGCTCCGAGCTGGTGTCGGAAGAGAGGGGGCTGAGGGGCAGTGCAGGGGCCGCAGGTCTCTAGGAGGTATGCTTACTGCTGCCTTAAAGCTGGCGCCTGAGTCCAGCAAGCATGGCCATAAACCCGGCCCTTCCTGGGGCCCTGGGAGCTGGGGCAGGCAGCCCTGAATCAGGAAAACTCTGGAAACCCAGGCTGGGGCCGAGCCCTGCCCCCAGGACCCCGTCCACTGGGCCTTCTCCGTCCCTCAATGCTCAGGACGGCTCCAAGGGGAAGAGGCTGCTTCCAGCTTACAAACAGGAGCCTGAGTCTCTGTGTAGAGCCCAATTCGGGACCCATCCTCACCTCTCCTGCTCCCCCAGCTCCATCCAAGGGCCTCCAAACACCCAGACCCGTCCCACCGCACCAGCGGCTGAGCCGATCGGATCCCAAGTCTGCAGCTCCCCAGCCCGGCCCTTGCACAACCACCAACTGCAAGGCCTTCGCCCCACGGGGCTCACGTGCCCGGCCTGGACCCTGGACCTCCCTGCTGGAGTGCGGGCTCCAGGCAGGCTGGGGTGGCGTGGATCCTGCGGGGTGTGTGCGCACAGCAGGCGCTCAACCCTGCTCCCTGAGAAGGACTAGTGTTACTGAGGGAGAGGCAGTGCTGCCACCCACGCTCTCGCGTGGGAACGTGTGAGTGTCCATGCGCACCGCTCCGTAGTATGGACATGGAAGAGTCTGTGCCAGTGCCTGGTACGGACACACACGCACCCACACCCAGCCCTGCACAAGGCGCGATCCCGCCAGTGGCCACGCGGGGGCGCTCGAGCCCGGAGGCGGTGCAGAGCCAGGCTGGGGGAGGGAGGGGCGTTCCCAGGGACTCACCCGAAGAAGCTCCGCAGGAAGGCCACGTAGATGAGTGGTGCGAATGCGAAGAAGCTGAAGTAGAGGAAGGTAGTGGCGTCCACGCAGCTGGGAGGGCGGACAGAGAGTCAGGGGGCGGGCTGCCCCGCCCGGCCATGCCCCAGCCACACCCACGTCCCTGGCGTGCGTGCGTACCAGAGCCCTTCGATGATGTTGGCACACAGCAGCGCGCTGCCCAGCCCCTGCACCAGGTTGAGCAGCGCCAGGATGCCCGCATACACGTAGAAGCTCCTCCGCGCTGTGGGGCGGGGGGACTCTGAGGTCCTGCCTCGTGGGCCAGGCTCCGCCCCCTCCTATCCCCGGGTCCCCCCACCCCGGGCACCCGCTCACAGGGCAAGGAGATGCGCTCCTTCAGCGGGGTCTTGGGCAGGACCACCACCAGCGAGTAGACCTGTGGAGAGAGGACAGGGCTGGGGGGCGCGGGGAACCCTGCTGGCCCCGGGGTCTGCCCAGCACTGCCCTCCCCTGCCCCAGCCCTGTCCTAGCCCTCACCAGGAAGAAGAAGCAGGAGCTGACCAGCCAGAACTGACGGCCCCCGTGCCCGTAGATGTTGAAGTCCTCGGCAGATAGGTGGGCGTCAGGGTACAGGATCTCCAGGGTACCCTGCACGGGGAGGGCCTTTCCTGAAGCAGAGCCCCTCTGGGTCTCCATCTTGCTGCCCCTACCCCAGCCTGCTCCCAAGGCGAACCCCAGCACCCAAACAGGCCCAGCTTGAGCCAGGGCAGCAAGGCGTGAGGTGCCGCCCCCGGCCTCTATCTATGCAACTTTCCCTGGGCCTGCACACCTGCGTCTTCCCTACCTGGGCTGCAGGTTTGCGCCTCCCCCCCCCACACTTGCATGCCCTGGGTCAGAATCTCTAGTGGAGGTCCCAGGACCTGCCTGGGGACAGGCACCCAGGTGAACTAACGGTCTGCCAGCCACACCTGATGAGCTTTCCAACCTGGCTCCCTCCTCGGACCTGGGTGACCGAGTAGGTGAGCGACAGCACAGTGGTGATGGCCAACACCCGCTTGATGCTTGACTTGCTCTCCAGGTGACCTGGAAAGGACGCAGCTCAGCCAGGGGCAGGCAGCCCAGAGAGGGTGTCAGGTCGGCCCTACCCTGACAGGGGAGGGACAGGGGAGCCCCCATGGCAACACACCGAAGGCCAGGCCCAGGATGACCACGCTTAGCTTGATGGCCAGCAGGAAGAAGCGGGTGATCTCCCACAGGATCTAGACAGAGTGGGCCAGGTCAGCCTGGGGTCACCCACCCAAGGCCAGGCTTCCCTCTCCTCCCTCTCGGGCCAGCCAGATGCACCTTGTCGGCCACCATTGTGGCACTGGAGGTGCTGACTGTCATGGACACAACAGCCCGGGCAATGCCCACCAGGGCCACCACGAACACCTGGGGAGTGAAGGAGGGATTGGGCGTGAGTCAAGGATGAGAGGTCTGGGAGGGGCGGGCCAGCAAGCCCAGCCACCTCTGCAGGGGTCCTCCTGATGCCAAGGAAGGAAGTGACCAGTTGGAGCGGGAGGCAGGGAGGACAGCAGTGGCTCCAGGTGGCAAGAGACCCCCACCGCACTGATCTCACAGCTGCCTCTGCCCTGCAGCCAACTTCCTGGCCAGCACGGTTAGTTAGCAAGGGTGGGGCCAGACGGGCTGCTTCCCCAGTCTGTGACCTCAGGTAGGTGGCCGCACCTCTGTGCCCCAATTTCCCCATCTATAAAGTGGGAGTAAAAACAGCACCTGCTGCCTTTGGTTGTTGGGAGCACTGAGGGGTGACTGGTGAAAATGTGCCCAGTACCCGACCTCCAGTCAGTCCCTTTCCTCTGGCCTCTGAGTGAAAGTGGGTTTCCTGACACAGAAACAGAAGAGCCCACTCTCATACACACTCTGATCTTTGGGCCCTGGAAACTGCCTGAGCCACGGGGGGCTGGCTGCAAAGGCGACACTGCCACCTGCGCCCACTGGGTGGTCACAACTGGTGCTCAGGGAGATACCACACACGGAAGCGGACCACACAGGACCCAGAGGGCACAGAGGGGCGGAGCTGCTGGCCAAGGTCACTCAGCCGCACGGCCAGGGCTCAGACCCCTCTCCACACTGTTTCCTGGGCTCTCCAGCCAAAGGTCTCCAAGAGGAAGCAGGCCAGGAGTGCGGACTGCCCTGCCCTGGGTACATGACCAGGGATTGCCTGCTGCCCCAAAGAGGACATCTGCCTGCCATGTAATAGGTGCTTAGTATCTGCTGAATAAATACACGAGGAGTAAATGGTCAGAGAAGAAAGCAGGAGTCCCCCAGCCCTGCCCTCCCAGAGCCAGGAGGGCCGCAGTTGGCCAGGGGCTGGACATCTGGGAACACCTCTAGGGGCCCCAGCCCTCCCCTGCCCCTGCCCGAGCCAGACCCAGGGGACCCAGGAGCCACTCGGCTCTTGGGATGACGTCTAAGTATCCCAGAGCAGAGAGGCTTCCACCGGGTCACAACCTGGAGGAAGGGAGCTGGGCAGCCCGCACCTGGTGTCCACCCCCGGAGGCGCCTTCCCAACCATGGCCCCAGACCTTGTCCCATGCACCAGGACCACCACGTAATGAGAAGTCCGGCTCTCCCTGTGGTAGGAAGTTGGTCTCCCAGGATGGACGGAGGAAAGGACAGACGGATGATGGGTGACGCTGCTGCAGAGTCTCCCTCCCAGCATCTATCCAGGGACTCCCGCCTCCCGGTCTCCTGTCGGGCTGAGCCGAGCCTCCCTCCTGCTCCACAGGGCCCCTCCTCCTGCAGGCCACAGGCTAGCTGTGAACAAGGTCAGCGGGAATTCCAGGAAAGGGGCTCTGGAGGAGGCCTTCGCTCCGAGCTGCTCCTGGCCGATGAGGGAGCTCACCGAGCCAAGGCCAGAGAGGCAGAGAGGGAGAACCGTGCCTGAGCTGGCTCTGCATGTTATTGCCCCTTTGGCTAAGGCCGTTGGAGTGGGAGCAGACGCACCAGGATGTAGAAGGTGATGAAAATGGGGCTGGAGCTGAGGCGGATCTTGGCCCGAGCAAACGGAAGCTTCCAGAGCAGGAAGACAAAGAAGAGCACGTTGGGGATGAGCAGCAGGAGGTCCCAGTACCAGACCCTGGAGACGGCACAGCAGGGGGCTCACCGGCGAGTCGGTGGTGCCCGCGCCCCCCAACAGCCCAGAAAGCCGAGCCACACAGCTGAGCTGCCGGCGGCGGGCGGTGCCCTCACCTGGAGGTGCCCACGTCCTCGTACAGCAGCAGCAGGCAGCGGTGTGGCACACTGATGTTTGGGGCCCCAGGCAGGGGCACCGCTGTGCTCCTGTTGGCCCCCATCACCCACTCCGGGGTGTCCATCCAGCCGGCAGCAGGCCCTGGGATGTCAGAGCCCCATGGTCAGCAGCTGTTGGGTCTTGGGCCCCTGGGGGAAACCAGGGGGGCCACACCGACAGCGCTGTCCCCCCCCGGAGCCCAGCTCGGAGCCCGGCTGTGGTGGGAGGCCAGGCTCTGGGCAGGGCCTCTGTCCCGTC